TTACAAATTTGGTAACTGAACTTTACTCCTCTTCTGTTTTACTCACTATTCTTTAAATCTTTTCAATTTCCTCATTAACTTAATATTTTTGGTTTTTTTGTCACTCGGCGTTTTCTCACTAACGTATTATAAATGAGCTGTTATATAGATTCAAAACGATGTCGTTTGGTGAAAATTTTGTTTTTTTAAAACGGCATCGTTTTAACGCCGTTAGCTATTTAATCGCGAAGTGATCAAAAACCCAATGTATTAAGTTCAGTGAGGAAATTGAAAACTTTTAAGTTGAAGGAGCAAATAGGAGAGATAATAATTAAGTTTAGTGGTGAAATTATAATCTACTCTATTTTTTCTTGTAAGTTTCTTGTAATTTTCTCTCCAAAATTTGATCAAATGTACCTAAATATTGGAGCTCGAATATGAATATAAAGTATTTGATCTTTAAATTAGGGTATTTAGGTGTTTAGTACCTAAACTATTCATTTTGGTCCGTTTAATACTTAAACTTTCAATATTTTTCAAAACCATGTCTATCGTTTAGTTTTTGTTTCATTTTAGTATCCGTCGTTAAAAATTTAACGCGTTTAATACCTAAACTATAGTTGGTCCGTTTTAGTACCTAAACTTTTATTTTTTTTCAAAATTGAAGTATGGTTAGGTACTAAATGTGTTTTGGTACCTAAACTTTCAATTTTTTTCAACACTTAAGTTTTTGCACTAAGAAAACAAAAACTAAACTTTAGGTATGATTTTGAAAAAAATTAAAAGTTTATGTATTAAAACGGATCAAAACTGATAGTTTAGGTATTAAATGCGTAGTTTACCTTTAAAATTATGAAAATAAAAAAGTTAAAGCGTCTATAATATGCATGTATCCATATAAGATACTTTAGCATTAACGGGGAAATGTAGCTTAAATAGTAAGACGTTCAATTTTTCATTTTAAAATCCTTGAAGAGAGAGCCTTGATAAAGCATGCATGTATACATGTAGTTATGAACAGCCTTTAATAAAGCAAAACAAGACCCTCTTGGATTGTTAGATGCGTTGATCTTTGAGGGCATTTTTAGGGAAAAGTTCCATCAAGGGGTCATTTTTGATAGCAAGCCGGTCAGCAAGAAAGAGTAATTTTGTACAAGATATGATGACATATAATTTGACAGTTAACAGCAATATAAGTTAAAATGCCTATTAACCTCTCTTAAGCTTTATTTAAATGATTAAGATTTCTTTAATCACACATGTTGACAGATTACAAATAGTCCAATTTTGTAGAGCAGATCTACAATAACAGTGGTTTTAATGATTTATTGCAATGGGGATGTAGATAGGATGGTAGAGTGTTAACTTAGCATGCGATAGGTACGGGTATCAATTCCCCCCGCAGCTCCTTTCTCGTCTGTTTTTTACTTGCATGATGTGGATTCCTAATCCTTGGGATTTTCAGGTCAAGTTCTAGTGTGGATCCTCCTACTAAATCTCAAAGTTGCAGCTTTCTTCTTACCTCATTCATATGCGCATTTTTTTTTCAAACTAAAAAATTACTTGCATGAAGAATGGAAAAATATTCTCTTCATCAGAATTGGATTTGGTAACCCAGGGATTGTTCTTTACCCAAGTAGGTATATATTGCATTACATCACATCTGCTGAGTTGGGTGGTGAGGACATCGATGCCTTTTGAGCAAGGCCTCAAGTTCAAGCTTTATGAGAGCTTGTCTCAAAATGAGATCCAGATTCGATCCGGCCATACTTGACTCTACATATTAATTTACTGAGATGCTTCGTTTTGGTATATGGTAAGATTCAAACCAAGATTGTAGCTTGAAAAGCTTAGATGAAAGAGGCTTTTGTGAGGGTATTCATTGACTAGAAACCATTGTGAATCCATTGTTTGCTTCAATCTGCTGTTTCACCATAGGAATAACACCACAGTTGAGTTCGATTGGGCACCATAAAATATAGCATAATCACGCCTTAATCAATCTAGAACGCCGATGGTGATTGGAACAATCCGAACAGAACCTGACGTGCTAAGAACACTTCCGGCGATGAACATGTCCGAGCCGGCACAGATTGTAGACTATTTCGGAGAGTAGCAAATGTGACTGAATCCATGGATGTACCGATCTTTTGCCTCGACATTACGACCCTCTCCGAGTATCGAAAAGATGTGCATACATCGGTTAATACCCCCGGAACAGCAGGCCGATCCGGCCACATATGCAGACTGCATCCATTAATGCTTACCAGGGTTACCTGATACATGGAATGAGCTTCTCTTTGAACACATTATTTCACATTATTGACCCTTTTCTTTCTTTCTTTGAAACCTGTATGAAACTGCAAATTGGAGCTCAAATGAATTACAAAACTGTCAGTTTGTGTAGCTGCACCGGAAAATCTCAAGAAATGGTCAATTATTCTTAAATTAATAGAAAAAAATTAAAGTGTTGTTCTGGTCGTCCTATTATACTCAAAATTGAAATTTATTCTCTATAATTTACCATAATTGATCTCTCAATTTTTATAATATCATTAGTCAACCCAAATGAACGATATCGAGTTTAAATACCCACTAGATTTTTCTTTGAGAAAAAAGCTCTTCCAACCCGTCATATTGAAATGGTTCTTTTTTGTTGGAATACTTCTTTTAAAAAATGATAAATTATAAAGGTTGAGCTTTAAACAAATACTATTATACTTACCTAGATTAATAAAAAAGGGTAAATTATAAATTTACTCACTGAATTTTACTCTCTTCTTATTTCATTCACTGTACTTTTAATTTTTCTTTGATTTGCTCACTAAACTTTGACATTGCTCATGTTTTGGTTACCCTGCCGTTAAAGATTATGGTGGCTCAAGGAAAAGGGTGAAAAAAGAAAAAGATGATAGTTGTATATGTGGCAGGTTTATTATTAAAATAATCCACATGAGCACCTCGTTAGTGAGAAAAAATAAAAGTACAATGAATGAAATATGAGAGGGAATAAAGTTCAGTGAGTAAATTTATAACTTATCCTTAAAAAAATCAGTTCAAAATTTTAACCGAAATAATTAAAGGTATTAAGGGTGCGTTTGGTTCACGGAATGTAAGATTACCAGTGAGAATAAAAGATTACCAGGGAATAGGATTACTGGGAATGTTGTATTTTGTGTTTGGTTGGTTTAGCATGAATGTAAGATTGCCGTGTTTGGTTAAAGGAATAAAAGATTATTGGAATGTATATTGACCAAATTGTCCTTATTATATTTTGTATAATATTACAAATTGTAAAATATTTATATATTTTTTTTAAAAATTAAATTCATAATATTTATATAATTTTTTTACAAAATTAAAAATATAAAAAGGTTTAATGAAACGGTAAAATTTTTTTAACCCCTGAACTTCATATAAAATTTAATTATAGATTTTTTTTGTAAATCTAAAATAATTTAAAGATAAATTTGTAATTTAACCTTCGTAGAATTTTTATTATTCAATGACAGAAGAATGATATTTTTGAAAAAAATTAAAAATTTAAGGGCATTTTAGTCCAAAACGCCGGTAATGTTACAATACCTAAGGGAATGGAGGTAATGACATTCCCGGTAATATACCCCAAAAATCTACTATTGGTAATAAAACATTACCGGGAATGAAATTCCCGGCCAACCAAACATGGGAATGTGAGATTCCCATCCCATGGGAATCCCACAATCCTTGAACCAAACACCCCCTAACTATAAAATAAAGGTACCAAATAATGTAAAATCAAAATATAGAAACTAAATCCCAAATTCCAATAAAATTTGTGCTTTTTAATGATATTTTTTTTGGTAATGAGTAATGACAACGAAGTTCATTAGTTAAACATAGTTGCAAAGATTCTCTGCCCTCACGATAGTGGAAGAGTTTGGTTCAAGTTCATAATTGATTAATTAGTTTCTTTAAGGACAAAGCAAAAATAAATTATTTGTATTGTATAAATTTGTCTTTTGTTATGATTATTTTATGAATAAATAAATAATTGCAAGATTCGATGCTTTTTTATTTAACTTTGTATTTTTATTTTAGTGATTTAACTTTAATTTTTTTTAATTTCATTAATAAACACTTGAATTTCGTTCGTTTTAATTATTGGTCCCTAAAATTTTAACATCGTTTAAACTTTTTCAATGAACTTATGTATAAAAATGATTTTCTAAACTTTAATGTGAAATCCAAATTTTTAAACTCTCATTTGATCAATCGAAGTACTTTCTTTAAGGGTAAATTTCATCAGATACCACCGGACTTTAAGCATTGTGTCATTTATATCACCAAACTTTTAATTTTATCAATTATAGCGCTAAATTTTTATTTTTGTTTCAATTATATCACTTGACCGTTAAATCGTTAACGTTCAGATCAAAACGACATCATTTTGGTGAGCGTCTACGTCGGCAGTCGTTAGTCACGTCATCGTGTCGTTAATGATTTAATGATTCGCTGGTATAATTGAAACGAAAATAAAGTTAATTGCCATAATTAATAAAATTGAAAGTTTAGTAATATAAACAATGCAATATTTAAAGTTCGGTGGTATATGATATAGTTTATCCTTCTTTTAAATATGAAGGATAGAGAAGTAGGGAAAAAATAAAAACAATACCTTGATTCAAGGCTAATAGACATTAAAGATTGCATACTAGACTACAGTCAAAGATTTGATTTGATTTTAATTTATAAACAATATCTGATCTGTATGTAGCTTCCCGGAAAATACATGAAGATTGGTATTGGTATTTGTATTCGCATCATCATTTTGTCCATGTGATGACCTTTACTTTACTTTCTCAAAAGCAGCCATTTTTGGTATTAGTGGTTTCTCTGTCTATCAATCACACTACCCATTTTCTTTGTCTTCATGGCTTCTTCTTCTTCAAGTCAATTGAAATATCAAGTTTTCTTGAGCTTCAGAGGTGAAGACACACGCCTTAACTTCACCAGCCATCTCCTCAAAGCTCTAAAAGACACCGGAATGAATGTCTTCTTCGATGAAGAAAAACTAGAAAAGGGGAGCAGCTTGCACAAGCACTTTCCCAAGCAATTGCAGCCTCAAATCTCTCAATAGTCATCTTGTCTGTCGACTATGCTTCTTCAAAATCATGCTTAGCCGAACTTTCTGACATCATGGGGCGCAAAAACACTCAACAGCATACTGTTCTGCCCATCTTTTACCATGTTGATCCTTCCCATGTCCGAAACATTTGTGGGAGTTTTAAGGCATCCTTTGAAGAGCATGAATCAAATAGGCCACTTGATGAAGTGAAGCGATGGAAAGCTGCTTTCGTTGAAATCGGCAAATTAAAAGGGTGGCATATACAAGGCGGTAAATTCGATAGGTAACTAGATACACATATGTACATTTCATCTTCTATTTTTTGACTTGTCTTTCTTTTGACCATCATTTTTGAAAATTATTTCTCAGATCTGAGACTGAATACATTAAAGATGTAGTTCAGTATATCATAAAAAGTTGAATAGCAAGTCTAGAAGAGTTTCTGAAGAATTAGTTGGAATAGATGATCAGAAAAAAACAATCTTGCAATTGATCGAGCAAGAAGATAGTCGAATAATAGGACTTTGGGGATGGGTGGTAGGTAAGACTACCCTTGCTGAAACTGTCTATAATGAAATCTCTCCAACGTTTCAAGCTCGTTACTTTCTTCAAGATGTTAGAGAGAAAATAGAAAAACAGGGGAAGGAATCTTTACGAAATGAACTTCTTTCCAAACTATTGAACTCGAGAACTTGTGTAGACACCCCGTCCATAGGATCCACTTTAACCCAACAGAGGCTACATAATATAAAAGTAATTGTTGTCCTTGACGATGTTAATGACTCGGACCAAATAGATCTTATGGGTGTTAAACATTTTGGTGATGGAAGTAAAATCATTGTAACATCCAGAGATAGACAAGTGCTTAAGAATGGAGGAGTTGACACAATACATGAGGTAAAGCAGTTAAATGAGAATGACTCTCTTCAACTCTTTTCTACGTTCATAAGTTGTTGAATCCCGCTCCTAATTTTCAAGATCTATCGAACGAGTTTTTGGAGTACGCCCAAGGCAGCCCACTTGCTCTTAAAGTTCTGGGTTCTAAACTATATACAAAGTCTAGAAAAGAGTGGTAAAGTGAGGCGAACAAGCTCAAGGAATATGCAACCAAAGATCTCAAAGATTTTGATGAGTAGTTTTGATGAGTTGGATGAGTTAGAGAATATATATTCTTGACATAGCGTGTCTCTTCAAAGGGGACTTCAGGAAGAAGTAGAAGAAGTTTTAAGTTGCTTGTATAAGGGTGCAACGTGTGGAATAAACAATTTGCTAGACAAGTGTCTACTTCATATGGATTCTGATGGGCGGATTTCTATGCATGATATGCTTGAAGAGATGGGGAAGGGCATTGTTCACCGAGAATCTAAGAATCCTAGAAAGTGCAATAGGTTATGGAGTCTCGAAGACATGAGCCAAGTGTTCAAATATAATAAAGTAAGCATTAATCGTATCAATATTCCTTTTTTTTACATATTTGTGTGATTTTAATTGAAATTTATTGGTAGAGCTCAAGGCTTAATCTTGTGGTCATGGGATCGAGTCCCACGGTGATCAATTCATAATTGGAGGTTTCCACGAAAGCTACTCTCAACCTGGCGTGTGGGGGCAGCCTACTATACCTACCTTACCCATTACATATGGGAATAGGGTCAGTTAATTTTTTTTACATCTAATGACAATGCTTTAGGGTATAACTTGGAATCTACTCAAGTTTTACCAAGTCAAATATCTAATGCGTTGCTTATAAAATAGAAAACATTTTTGTATTGTCTAAAAACATTTTTCAGTAATAAAGATGTCTGATTAGTCTAAGCATTTCTTAATATAATTATATTTTTAATGAGTAATTTTAATGAAATGTTCATAATATTTTGTAACGAAACTTGATAAATTGTTTTCTTATTCCAGGTGAATAAATCAATTGAAGGAATAAAACTTTTCGTTTATCGAATTGAAGACCTGCTGATTTGTTTGGGCTTTGAGAATATGCATAATCTTAGATGTATCATCCTTTATACTTGTCCTTCGTTCTTGTTTCAACAACTTGCCGTAGACAAAGTTGATAGTGTATCTTTTTCTGATGAGCTAAGGTATCTTCGTTGGGAATTTTGTCCCTTGAAATCCTTATCATCAAATTTTAATCCAAAGAATCTTGTTGTGTTGAAACTAAGTGATAGCTACATAGAACAACTTTGGAAGGAAGATCATCAGGTATTTCATATTTTTTTTACTTTTCATATGGTCCAAAATAAGTAGATAATGCAATTATTATATATTTTCAATGTACAGGATCTTGATAATTTAAGGTCAATTGACCTTTCTGATTGCAAGAGACTAAGGAAGATCCCTAATCTATCAGGAGCCATCAACCTTCAAACCCTTTGCTGCAATGGATGTGAAAATTTGGTTGAACTATCTTCTCTCAATCAATTGACATCTCTTCAACGTCTTGACCTTTCTCATTGCAAGAGTCTAAGGAGATCCCTAATCTATCAGGAGCCGTCAACCTTCAAAGCCTTTGCTGCCATAGGTGTGAAAATTTGATTGAACTACCTTGCGTCAATCAATTGACCTTTCTCATTGCAAGAGTCTAAGAAAGATCCCTAATCTTTCAGGAGTCATCAACCTTCAAAGCCTTTGCTGCTATAGGTGAAAATTTGATTGAACTACCTTGCCTCAATCATTTGGTATTTCTTGAAAGCCTTGAACTTTCTCATTGCAAGAGTCTAAGGAAGATCTCTAATCTATCAGGAGCCATCAACCTTCAAAGCATTTTCTTCTGTGGGTGTGAAAATCTGGTTGAACTACCTTGCCTCAATCATTTGGAATCTTTGACCTGTCTTGTTGCAATAATTTAAGAAGATTCCTAATCTATCCGGAGTTATCAACCTTCAAAGCCTTTGCTTCAATGGGTGTGAAATTTGGTTGAACTACCATGCCTCAATCATTTGACATCTCTTAAAGAGCTAGAATTGAAGGGATGTCATAATCTCAAGAAGTTTGCTGAGCTCCCAAATCATTTTTCTGAGTTACGTTTAAGATACACTGAAATCGAAGAAGTGCCGGATTCAAATCGACTTCTTATAATTGAGAAGAGAGTCAAGGATAGAAAATGTATCAAGCAGTATTTCAAAGTTGGAATCCCTTCGCGTTTTGGATCTTGAGGGTTGCGAAAGGCTTACAACACTCTCAGGGCTTCCACGATATCTGTGGTGCTTGGTTGCAAATAATTGCACATCATTGGAAAAAATATCCTTCACCGATTATAATTCCAATTCATTCCATTCTTTACATGATTGTGATGATACTCCTCGTGATGAAAAGGTTTCCATGTCATTCCTTAATTGCACAAGATTGAATCAAGATTCAATTAAAAACATTGGGACAAATGCGATGCTTCAAATTCAATCCCTAGCACAGAGATGGGCAAGGAGGAAAGGGAGGGGTTCTTTTCCAAATCAATTGTTATGTAGTTTCCCAGGAAATGAAGTTTCAGAAAATGAGTTTGAGAATCGAAGCGTGAGTTCTTGGATAAATTTAAAGATAGCCCCAAATGGGTGTAGCAGGAGCAGATTCTTGACTTTTGCTATCTGCTTTGTGGCTAATCTCTCAGATACATAGAAATGTTGAATTTATCTGTAAATACCAACTGACAGCCGCCAGTGGCGAAAAGTTCATGAGTGAGTGTCGCGTTTCTAAGAGATGGGACAAGATCTTCAGTTATCATGTGTTCATGTGTTTAATCAGGATATGATCATAAGAGACAATTATTACGAGGAAGCATCATTTGAGTTCTACATCAGAAATCGTGGCAGAGAAATTAAAGTGAAGGAATGTGGTGTTCATGTATTTTATGTGGATGAAGAGAGTTATAGCATTAGTGATACATCCAACCAGAATTTTGATTCTCAAGAAGAAGCAAGGTTTAGCTTTATTGGTGGTGAAGATGGGGATAGAGGGCCTAAAAGATTGAAATATTTTCACTTCTTTTAATCTTTGTGTATGCAGATGCGAGATGGCAATAATGCCATTGTCATCCAAATGCATTGGTAAATTTCGAAATTGAAAACTACTCTTACTTGGTGATTCTAGTTAGAGTAAATTTTTACACTAAGAATTTAATTGCTTATGATAATTGTATTTCTTTGTATAGGAGGCAGTGGTGGTTTTTTTAATTCATAGAATCAGTGGTGGACTTGATTCAGCTCCATTGGTTTCATGCCATGGATTGGGCAATAAGTAAGTAGAGATTTAGACATCTCCATTTTCCTTCAATGATTTCTTCATCCCTCCATCTATGTTTTCATATATCAATGTCATCATATTTCAGATATTAACAGCTTTGGAGTTACCATCAAAATCGGATGCTCAAAAGCGTTAGACTTGAATGCTTGTTGGAAGAATCGGAGGGATTGCAGCAGAAAGAAAAGTCGAGGGATTCTACTGTAGCGTAAGTCAGCAATATATCACGTGTTTTTAAGATATTGAATGCTCGATGGTCTCCCTACTATACACAAACGTTTTTGCTTCTATGTTGGGTGAACCTGTAGGTGGGAGGCTTGGCCTTGCACTTCATGATTTCGGTCACTATTGCGGTTCGGGCTTCAAACCCAGTATTTAGAGACATGTTAGAGTGATTTCCATCACAATTTTGTCCCACTAGAAGACCTTCACTATGGGATGACACACCAATCACCATTTGCCTGTGAAATTAAAGTTATATTTTCAATGATGAATTATACTCATACCTATTTAATTATCAAAGAATTTAATCTGACTATTGATCTTTTAATTTTAATCATAACTATTAATCTTCGGTTTGATCATCCTCGCCCTCATTTACTACTTTACTGGTTGCTGATAGGGTATTTTTATAAGTTTGTATTTGTAACCCTACTGAACGGGTCGTTTGTATTTGCCTTATGACTGACTGTTGTGTCTGCTAATTATATACATGACGATTTTCAAAAAATAATAATAATAATAATAAATAAATATCTTTTCAACATACAACTTGAACAATGTTTATATTATCCAGACTCCTCCATATCCATAAGGGTTAGTCTAATTCAAGTATTCTTCCTTCCCTTCTCCTCAGTTGAATTGTTTTCTCTCCCCTCCTCGCCAATTCAAGTATTTTCATCCTCTTCTCCTCAGTTGAAGTATTTTTCTTGAGAACTTCATAAGCCAACTACTCCAAGCTTTGAAAGCCACAGGAATGAAGAAGCTACGAGGAAGATGGCAGCTGAAACTTGACAATGCTCTTATCTTTATAATAATCCCTGGTAATTGAATTCTTATTATACATCCGCTGAATTTAGTTACCAAACCCAACTAATATGGTTTAGTGGATAAATAATTAACAAATAGATTATTTGCATCACAATTTTGCCCCACTAGAAGGCCTTCACTACTGGTCTACACACCGACCGCCATTTTCCTGTGGAATTAAAGTTACATTAAAAGGAATGCTAACATCTTACTATTCATCTTTATTTATCGCCGCTATCCCTCTTGGAGTTTCAGCTGCCATCTTCCTCGTGGCTTCTTCATTTTTCTTGTCAATTCAAGTATTCTTCCTTCCCTTCTCCTCAATTGAATTGTTTTCTCTCCCCTCCTCGTCGATTCAAGTATTTTCATCCTCTTCTCCTCAGTTGAAGTATTTTTCTTGAGAACTTCATAAGCAAACTACTCCAAGCTTTGAAAGCCACAGGAATGAATCTTCTTGATGAAGAAAAACTGGAAAAAGGGGAGCAATTTGCAGGACAACTTACCCAAGCAGTTGAAGTCTCAAATCTCTCGATAATAATTTTGTCTGCCGACTATGCTTCTTCGGATGTATACTCTAATACAGACCCGCACCAAGGATAATTGCATTGAGCTAGATTCATCCTCATCTCCCAACTCCTAAGATAGACTTTAGTAGGGATCCTATTGATATGCAACATCCATAGGAAGCTTTGCAACTTGGGAGGGATTTTTAGTTTCCAAATTCTATCCAAGTCAAAAGATGAATCCTCAATTAACTCGAGTCATTTTTCTCGCCCCATAAGAAGCTTCGTCTATTTTTTCAATCTTTAAGATGATCATTTTCGGAACTTCGAATAAGGACACATAATCCAATGGTAATGTTGATAACATTACATGGACGAGCGTTCCTTTTCCAGCGAAAGACAACGATCGGTTTTTCCAGCATGATAGTTTAAATCTGAATCTCTCAATAACTTAATCCCAAATTTTAATTTTCTTCGAATTTGCGCCTAAAGAGATCTCAATAATTTTAATCTTTCCGTCACAATCTGGATAAGTTGGATCAAATCATCATCCATCCGTCACTAACAAAAGTCTTCCAATACTCGTACACGCATTGTAGACTTTATGACATGTATATTATTTCCCGAAATCGACAAGCTAATCATAGGCAACATTAATAAAATAACTTTCAATAATCCGTCTTGAGCTCATATCTCTATGATGCACATATGTTGAGGTGTCTCATAAGCTATAGCAAACAATAAATTAATTGATGATAACGATTATAATGCAAGTTCTAAAAAGAAGATTGTTACAATTAAAAATTCAATAATATTATAGATAATTTGTTAATTAATGTATTGAATACACAGAGATACGATGTACAAGGTAATTATCTTACATTTTATGAATGAAATCTCACAAAATTCTTTCTTCTTTTGCGATATTCCTTTCTTTTAGCAAGTTCTGTAAAACTATAATCCTATTGTTTGAACTTTAACTTGATTTCGTATGATTTGAACAAGTTGCGGATACATGGGCTCTCTAGGGGAGCACTTGCAGACTCATTATTTTGGGAAAAAAATTTAAATTTAGTTTAATTTGTTAATGGAAATAAGAAAAATAAGGAAATTTGCATACCCAAATTTTTTTAAAAATATAATATTATAATTTTGGACCTCGTTTTTTAATTTCTAGATCCGCCATTGATTTGAACCTTAAATATTAATGTCAATCTAACCTAAAATATTACAGCAAAAATGTCAGAATAATGCAGTATGAGAAAAAAATTTCCCACAATAACGTGTTTTTCCCACAATAATGTGGTTCCAATATTATTTCTCCATCTAAAGTATTTTCTACAGTACACGTCTAAAGATCCCAAGATATCTCGACGCTAAAATTTTGCTGGAACTACTCCGCGTCTTTAGTTAAATTCTTTCTCTCATTACTGCGCATTTTTGGATATTTTCTCAAAAAAATCACATTTTCCTTAAATTTACGTGTCAGACACCCTTTGAGATAATATTCTCGATCTAACACCCTTTAATTCGTATTATTTATTTAATTGTTTCAGGTTTTTTTTTTGTAAATATTAATAATGTCTCCCTTTCAAACTCTAAGAATGACGCAAATTTCAGCTATGTTTATTATGATAAAATTTTGGGAAGATGAAACTGGCGTTGTTTTCGTATCAAATCATTATGTTAAAATATCCTTCAAGAGAAACATAACTCTTGAGGAGGTGATAATGAAGATTTCAAGGAAGGTTCATGATGGAAGTACTAGAAGAATGTCGTCGCTTCAGTACATATTTCCAACATCATTGTTTCCGTTAACTTATACAGACTTTCATCCAAACGAAACAGATCGCCTTCTATTTTATAACTGTAAAAAATAATTAAATAAAATACTAAAAAAAAAATAAATAATAATATTAAATAAAATACTAACAAAATATTAAATATAATAAAATATACCTTATAAATAAAATTTGAACGAGGTTTGGTTTTTGAGAGGATTTGGTGTGGTGAAAATAGTTGAGAGGGGGGTATTTATAGGGTGGGATAGAGGGTGTGAACGGTCAGTTGGGTCGGTGGGATAGAAGGTGCATGGGTCGCGCCTTCGTTATTTATTCTTCCCTAACGTGAGCCGCACCTTACCTTACGTGGTGTCACATCAGCGTAAGTCGAGGTGTATGGGTCGCGTCTTTCTGCAAAGGGTGTTAGATCGGGAATATTATCTCAAAGGGTGTATGATACGTAAATATTTAAGGAAGATATGATTTTTCAGGAAAATCACCAAAAATCACATTAATCAGAGGAAGAATTTATCTAAAGACTCCGAGTAATCCCATGATTATGCAATGTAAAATTTTTAGAATGAAGACGTCAAGATATCTTGGGATTTTTAGACGTACTGTAAAAAATATCTTATTTGAGGAAATAATGTTAGAACCAGTGAAATTTTTTTTACCATACTGCATTATTATGACATTTTGCCAAAATATTACAAGTTGTTTTCTGATTAGATCACATATAATTTTGTATAATAAAAAAGAATTGTGTACTTAACCATGGAATTGTTCTTTATTATTTTTCTTTCTTTTGATTTTTTTTCCATGGATTTACATGTAGAAATATTATAAAAAATGAGGCGTAGTTTACTATGTAACTTGACAATGATCTTATCTTTATAAAAACCTTTATTGGTAGAATTAATGCAGAGATGTTATAAAAATGAGGCGTAGTTTACCAAGTAAACTTGACAAAGCTCTTATCTTTATAATAATACCAAGTAATTTTCATCCACTGAATTTAGTTACCAAACCCAACTAGCGAATAAACAATTAGCAAATAGATTATTCACTTCACAATGGCCCGCGAGAAAGACTTTGATTATGGGGTTAAGGATCCATCTATAATTTTATGTTATAAATTTTTAGAGATACGAGTTTATAAAATTTTAGAAATCAATGCAGTTGAAAAAAATTATTCGAATAGGATATTCTCGAAATTATTTCGCGAAATAGAAGTAAACTCAAAGATGTTTTACTCTTATTTTGATCACTCTACAATAACATGATTTGTTTTACTCTATTTTGATCACTCATCGACCATTGTTCAAGTTGTTATATAGAAGTCAATTTAATCCATCAGTTTTAACATTGAATTTGTGTATTAAAGAAATCAACATAATACTCACATAATTTTTAATTGAAATTGGGTTTAGGTGGGAGTTAATGATTATACTGCTCCAAGAAGTGTAAACCGGAATCTAGTAAAGTATGTGGCATTGTCATGTGGTAAAGAAATATGAACATTTTAAAACAACTTAAATTTTTAGTATCTCATCGCTCCTCCTAAGTCCATCTCTGAAACTGATCACCATTTGCTTAAAGTTGTATTCTTGAACCCCTCTTCGAGTTTCAAGGGAGTGCTAACAGCTTACAATTCACATTCACTCTATTCGAGGTTCAGCTGCCATCTTCCTCATGGCTTCTTCATTTAACTGCTCTTCTTCTCAATTGAAGTGTTTTTCATCCCCTTCTCGTCAGTTGAAGTGTTTTCTCTCCCCTTCTAGTCAATTGAAGTATTCTTCATCCTTTTCTCGTCAACTGAAGTATTTTTTCTCCCCGTCTCATCAATTAAAGTATTTTTCATCCTCTACTCGCCAATTAAAGTATTTTTCATCCCCTTCTTGTCAATTGAAGGGAACTTCCTCCCCTTCTCGTAAATTAAAGTATCAAGTTTTCTTGAGCTTCAGAGGTAAACACGCCGTACTTCACCAGCCAACTACTCCAAGCTTTGAAAGCCACCGGAATGAATGTATTCTTCGATGAAGAAAAATTGGAAAAAGGGGAGCAATTTGCGGGACAACTTACCCAAGCAATTGAAGTCTCAAATCTCTCGATAATCATTTTGTCTGCCGACTATGCTTCTTCGGATGTATGCTTAGCCGAACTCTCCCACATCATGGCCCTCACGCGCAATCAAGGGCATATTGTTCTTCCCATCTTCTTCCATGTTGATCCCTCCGATGTGAAAATCTACGTGGTAGTTTCAAAAAAACCTTTGATAATCATGAATCAAACGAAAAACTTGATCAAGTGAAAGTGAAGCAATGGAAAGCTGACCTGGCTCAAGTCGGAACATTAGATGGAATTCATATAAATGCGACAAGTAACTATATATTTTTCTGCTCTTCTTATATTTGACTTAACTTTGTTTTCGATTTGATATAGATATATTTTTGTTTTGATTATTTGCAACCTGAAGCCGAGCACATCAAGCATTGTTGGATATGCTATACAAAAGTTGATGAAGCATCAAGTTTTCTTGAGCTTTGGTGACGACACGCGCCTCAACTTCAGCAGTCATCTTCTCAAAGCTTTGGAAGACACGGGAATAAATGTCGTCTCCGATAAGGCGGAGATTGAAATCTCTCAGGCAGTTGCAGCCTCAAATCTCTCAATAATCGTTTTATCTAAAGACTATGCTTCTTCGGAATCATGCTTAACCCAACTCTCTGCCATCATGAGCACTGAAAAACATATTGTTCTGCCCATCTTTTACCACGTTAAACCTTCTGATGTGGAGAATCTCAGTGTGAGTTTCAAAGCTTCCTTTGATCACCATGAATCAAATGGGCTACTGCAAGTGCAACAGTGGAAAAAGGACTTCGCTGAAGTTGGTATATTACAAGGTGGCCTATAGAAGGCTATTTTGATAGGTAACCATATATTTCATCTTCTTATGCTTGATTTGTTTTTGTTTTGACAATCATTTTTACTAATATTTTTCAGACCTGACTGAATTCATTGAAGAAGTCGTTCAATATGTCATAAAAAGTTGAACCGCCAGTCTAAAAGCGTTTCTGATGATTTGGTTGGAATAGATGATCAGAAAGAAACGATTTTGAGGCTGATTGAACAAGAAGACAGTCGTGTAATAGGACTTTGGGGGATGGGTGGTATTGGCAAAACCACCCTTGCTGATGCTGTATACCATGAAATCTCCTCAGAGTTTGAAACTCATTGCTTTCTTCAAAATTAGAGAGGAAATTGAAGACAAAAGAATGAATTCTGTAAGAAATGAACTTCTCTCCAAACTATTAGCCGATAAAATTGATATAAAACCCCCTCCATAGGATACCTTTACCGACAGAGGCTGAAGAGTAAAAAGGTGTTTGTGGTCCTCGATGTTAATGACTCGAACCAAATAGATTTTATGGGTGTTAAACATTTTGGTGATGGAAGTAAAATCATCATAACATCCAGAGATAAACAAGTGTGAAGAATGGAGGAGCTGACACAATACATGAAGTGAAGATTCTAAATGAGAAGGACTCTCTTCAACTCTTTTCTACATTTGCATTTAAGCTTTTGAATCCTCCTCCTGATTTTCGAGATCTATCGAACAAGTTTTTGCGGTACTCCCAAGGCAATCCACTTGCTCTTAAAGTTTTGGGTTCTAATCTTCGCACAAAGTCTAAAGAAGAGTGGGAAAGTGAGGTGGACAAGCTCAAGGAATGTGCGGAACCAAAATTTGAACTTATTTTCAAGAGTAGCTTTGATGGGTTGGACGAGATAAGTAAGAATATATTTCTTGACGTAGCATGTTTCTTGAAAGGGAATCTCAAGGAAGATGTAGAAGAAATTATAAATTGCTTATATAAGGGTGCAGCGAGTGGAATAAGCAAATTGCTCGACAAGTCTCTACTTCATACTACTGATTCTTCTAGAGAAATTTCTATGCATGATATGCTTGAAGATCTCGGTAAGGACATTGCTCGACAAGGATCTAATGACCCGGGAAAGTACAGAAGGTTGTGGAGATCCAAAGACGTGAATCAAGTGCTCAAATATAATAAAGTAAGTGCTAATTGTATTTATATTTCTTTTTATTTTAGATATATTTGTGTGGTTTTAATTATAATTTATACTTGATATTATCAATATAAATTCATTTAATTATATGTTGCTATATGTTAAAGTGTATCAAATATTAACCCTTCAAATTATAATGAATAATTTGATGGAATGCCCATAAATTTCCCTACACCTGTACTTGATAAACTGTTTCTTGTTATTAGGGAAATGAATCAATTGAAGGAATAGAGTTAAACATGTCTCTAATGGAAGATCCGATTTTATTATGTCGTCATGGTTTTGAGAACATGTTTAATCTTAGATATCTCGGCGTCCGGGCTATGAAATTATCGAAGAATGAGAAGCTACACTTAGATAAAGTTGATAGTGTATCTCTTCCTGATCAGCTAAGGTATCTTCGTTGGAATGATTATCCCTTCAGATCCTTATCTCCAAGTTTTAATCCAAAGAATCTTGTTGTGTTGAAATTACATTTTGGTCAGATAGAACAACTTTGGAATGAAGATCATCAGGTATTTTAGATTTTTTTTTTCTATTTTTTTTTGATACGGTCCAAAATAAGTAGACAGTGATATGAGGTACTGTAATTATTTTATATTTTCATTGTACAGGATCTCCTTAATTTAAGGGTGATTAAACTTTTTTATTGCGATAAACTAAGGAGGATTCCTAATCTATCGGGAGCCATCAACCTTGAAAGCCTTATATGTTCACGGTGTAAAAGTTTGGTTGAACTTCCTAGCCTCAATCATTTGACATCTCTTAAAAAGCTTGAATTTGACGGATGTCCGGCACTCAAGAAGTTCCCTGAACTCCCAAATAACATTTCTGAGTTAGACTTGTCAAACACTAGTATAGAAGAAGTGCCTGATTCAATTCGGCATCTTGTCGGGCTTAGAAAGTTGGTTGAGAAACTCAAGGGTGGAGAGTGTATCAAGCAATATTTCGAAGTTGGAATCCCTTCACGTTTTGGATCTTGCTGGTTGCACAAGCCTTGAAACACTCTCGAAGCTTCCACGATATCTGCGGTACTTGGATGCAGATGAGTGCACATCATTAGAAACAGTATCGTTCACCGATCATTGTTTCAATTCATTCCATTCTTTACATGATGGTGGTGATGAAGTTCGTAATGGAGAAAAAGTTTCCATGTTATTCAGGAATTGCTTAACCTTGAACCAAGATTCAATTAAAAACATTGTGGCAAATGCTATGCTTCAAATTCAGTCCCTAGCATCGAGATGGGCGAGGAAAGGGATACTCCGAGAGGAGTATAATAGTTATTTTTATCGAAGTCATTTGTTTTGCCGTTTCCCAGGAAATGAAGTTCCAGAAAATGTGTTTTGCTATGGAAGCATGAATTCTTGGTTAAATTTGAAGATAACCCCAAACAGGTCTAGTGGGAGCAGATTCTTGGCTTTTGCTATCTGCCTTGTGGCTGATTTCACACGTGCATATGGCGGTCTTAAAGTTACCTGTAAATACCAACTGAAAGCCGCCGGTGGCGAAAAGTTAACAAGTGTGTGCTGCATTTTTTATATTCCGGAAGCGTTCTACAAGTGTGATCATGTGCTTGTTCTGTTTAGTGAGAACATGATAATAATAGACAATGATTATGAGGACGCATCATTTGAATTCAAAATCGAGAATCTTTACCCCAGAGGAGAAATTAAAGTGGAGGAATGTGGTGTTCATGTGTTTTACGTGGATGCGGAGAGTTATACCATTTATGATGTGATGAGATGTGAAAAATCCGACCAGAATTTTGATTCTGCAACAAAAATGAGACCCGAGGATGATGGTGAAGAAGGGGATGGAGGGCCTAAAATATTGAGATATGTTCACTTATTTTATTAATCTTTGTGCATACTTTTGAGATTTGTCAAGAGTTCAGGGTTGAATTTCTTTCTACAAATATAGTTTGTGATGGTTGCTTGTTAAAGAGTTGAGGGAATCATTTCTATTTAATTTTCAAGGGAATAAGAACTTTGAACTCAGGAGTTGGTTTGTATATAGAGCATTTGGAGTTGATGTTTTCTTTTCTTGGATTTTGATCATCATATCAGTTTCTTTGTGTGTGTTACTGTCTCTTACGTTGTTTGAGCATTATTGAAAACTCCAATCGAGTTTCATTTTCTTTTCCATATTAGCGTATCAGAGAGATCTGAAGACATGAGCCAAGTGGATTGGGGAAACTGTTACATCCCAACTTCACTTCAGTCGAGCATGTCCCCTCCTCACATCAATCCTAAACTTTTATTACATAATCTGTCATCTCATTGTTCATTGTTTGAATGATGTAATTAGCTTCTGCCTTAGAAACAGGATTTCGGGTTGGCAGAATTCAAATGGAATCTGATAGTGCTAAGGAAACGCTTCCGGTGACCGAGCCACCAAATGTCAGCACGAACCGTCGGCTATTTCACAGAGTAGTAAATGTGACTGAATCCATGAAGGTACAGGCCAATTTGACCACGGATGCAGACTGTATCCATTGGTGCTTATCAGGGTTGCCTGATACATGGAATAAGCCCCTCTTTACACATTATTTCACGTTCTTTAGCCTTTTCTAAAACTTTGATGAAACTGCAAATTGGAATTGTTTGGGAATTACAAAAGTGCCCTTGAGCCTGTGCAACAGTATGGGAACAAGACAGTATGGTATTCTCACTTATTACTTAATTAATCAGATTATTTTTGGTCAAAACAATTGCTTTGATCCCTCTATAATGGTCAAATTTAAAATTTAATCCTTATTATTTTTTATACTTTGGTCATTCTACTTTTATGATATCACAAATTAATCCAAATGCTAACGATATTAAGGTTAAAATGCTCAGTTTTTGTTAAAAGACTAAAATTTTTCAACTCATCATGCTGACAGATTTTGATTTATGTTGGAATACTTGTTTTAAGATCAATTCAGGTCAGTATCGTAATTGTAAAAAATAACAATATTAATTATTTTGAATAACTAATAACATTATAAAATAAAAAATATCATAATAAATTAAAATACACAAGCCTTCTTCTGTTCACTCAGGAAGACAACAGAAGCCGATTTATCTTCAATTGCATTTATGTGAGTGCCTGGTAACAACAAACATAACAAAGGGACCCGAGACGAAGAGATGTCCATGTGATTAATTCTGTCCACCGTTGTCTTCACCGTAGCCGGGGCTGCTACACCAAACCATTGAAGATACCAAGACAAAATTGTAGAACTTTTCACTCCTCTGGATCTATCATCAGGCCAACTACCAGAGTTCAAATAATTACAAATCGTTCTGTAACGCCTCTGAACAATTCAGGAGTTCTTCAACTCGTTTCCGAAGAGATCCTAGAAACACAGATTGAACAATGCTGCCATTTGAAGTGGTCAACCTTCCAGTCAAGACAGCCTCATTATAGGACAGTGCAAGCTACAAAACAGAAGGATAGGCATATGTTACAGATTCGGGTATGTGCTGACAGGCCGATATGGGTAATGTTCAAATATTTGAAGTTTTTCCATGTAACTTTAGGGAACTTCAAGTAAAATGACATGGAGTTGCATAAAGTTGCAGAAAAGTACCTTCAAACTAGAGAGAGATAATGAGTCGCCAACAAGAAGATCACTGCTGGAGACCTGCTCTGCCAATGTGCCAATGGTGGTGTACAAGGATAAATAGACCTAAAAAGCAGAGAGAGGCGTTAACAAAGATTATTATAAAGACATTCACATATTGAGAAATAGACGACATGAATACGGAATACGGGAAGAATCATATACACGTCTAGGAAACTTGATCTGATCAACCGACTATCAGTATGCCAACAAATTAGCTTATTTCCAGTTGACATTGCAATGTAATTGACCAAAATCCTATACGAAGAAGAAGAATTTACGACTAAATCAGACTATTACCTGCAGAAGAGCTGGTCTATCCTTGCTTATACACTCAAATAATACTTGCAAGCAAAACTCCTGGAAGTCAACATCAGATCTGCAAGCACGTTGATTTGGGAAATAGATTATGACAATATGCACCTTTAATTCATTCAATACGTTCTATAATTTACAATTGTCACCAACAATAAGGAGAGATTTCTTTAACTTACTTGCTATTCCAGGAAAGGTCACAGAAGAGTTGTGCAAAACAATTAAACTTGGATCAGAAGAGAAAGTGCTGACAAGTTGATCAACAGTAACAGCAGTAGGTCCATCATTGCCTGCTCTTAGACTTGTCGAACCAAAGACCTAAATGACAAGATAAATCAACTTCCATGATAAGGAAACTATAACAGGGGAAGAAGGCCACGTTAAAGTAAAGTTCTGCAAACAAACCTTGTGCATTGCTCGTGAAAGCAGTGACTGACACCCTATGGGATCATCCACATGAACACAATCCAACCTTCCGTTTGACATGGAGAATACCAGAGTGAAATGGGTCATTCCTGTCACCCAAACTCCACCAAGGCTCATCTGTAGAGGGAAATTATCAGAAATATGCATATTAACATATGGCAAGAAAAATTGCAGCAACAAACTCCACATACTTTCGGGAACAAGCTCAATCACTTGAGGCCAGTATCGAGGGCCACAAACACGAACTGTCTTCAACTGCAACAACATGGCATGTAAAGCATTAAAGGCAAGAAATTTTGATAATAGATGAATTAGCAGACAGGTAGTTTATGCTACAGTAGCAACAGAAAGTTTAAACGTTATTTCAAAGCTCAAAGTGTTACTCAAAAGCAAGCAGATTCATGCAATTAACCTCCAAAGCTATTCCATGAAAATTAAGGTCTGAAAATAATGAAAATCCTTCGAAATCTGTTAACAGATCTTGAACTTACAATAGAACGCTCGGGCAGAATGCAAGGAGTAATCTCACAAAACTTGTTTCAGAATAATGCTCAGTTTCCCTGATTGTGACTTCAAGAGGAGCATAAACGGGAGGCCAGTGTCGACATCAATAGTTTGAAGCCAGCGAGCCTCCGTTGCAAGGACATACAAATGTCTGAATGCCTGGAAAATGCAGTATCTTATAGAGAAGTGGTAAAAGTAGAACATATGTCCAATTTGGAAAAATGAAAAGAATTCAAGCTTCTTCAAGAAAATAACCCACCAGACTTTCCGTCAAAATCAATAGTAAAATACTGTTCATATTGCTTGTAATGAACATGTACTATTTCCACCCGATCAATTTTAAGCTACCCAAAAAACACCTTAAAACTCAATCTTAACATACCTGAAGGTGGCAACGGTTGTCATTGGGTCCTGTAGGCAACTGTGGTAGAGAGTGATAAGCAATGCTGCAATGGAACTGTTGCTGGTAGAAAATGTCCTCGTTCCTCCACCAAGAAACAAGAAACCAATTGCTAAGCTCACCTAAAACCAAGTATGCGAATAAATTAAGATGCCCTAGAAATAAGCAAATTGTTTGAATGCATGTTATAGCCAGACTGTCCATTTAATTAATGCAAAAGAATGATATATGTTGTCTCTGGGAAGCTACACTGACTTGTGACCAAGAAGCCATACATTCTTACGCATTTAGCATTGTTTTCTGATGAAAGCTTGGGAGATGTTCTTAATGTTCCATGAAGAAATGGAAGAAGAGTCATTGAACTCTCAATGCTCAAAGGGTTTATAAGACCTCCGCATAGATTCAACAAGCGGACATTTGGCAAGGCAATGCAGGGGATATGCAAGGCATGATATATATGATGATAAACAGCATATGATTTTCTTTTGCAGAAGGTGAATTATAGAATCCATGTTCATAAATCAATATATTATCTTTATCTTATAGATTCTCATCATAAAAATTGCAATTTCCATATAATTTGAGAGTTCATGACAAGCATGAGATCATAAAAACAGGCATATAATGAATTATATCCTAGATCAGCAGGGGGGAAAAACATAATAAGCACTTAATATAGTTCAATTGGATCCAGTAAGGAATGTGTAGAAACATTACCACCATCTGGATACCATAGTTGGCATGACCATCTACAAAGCTTCGGTTGCGGAGAAACCTTAGAAGCCGGAAGGTCTGTAAATGTCCAGAACCAGCCATAACCTGCTTCCAAAAGGGCTCAGAAGTCACCCACTATTACTTGGCATAAATAGGCAAAATAACAAAAATAAGAATAGGAATCAAATTATCAAGTTCATTTACCACAGACAAGGATAGAACAATAAGATGAAGGCACATCTCCAATGTGCCTCGGTCAACATACTGAGATAAACCCTTG